CACGGCCGTCTCGCTGATATTGAAATATTTATGCCCTATGCAAATTGCTTGATTTCTTCTCTTGTCTCTAGCGATATTTTTTATCTTGACTTCGGTTACACATATAGACGTGAAATTACACGTATATATGTCGTATACGCAATCTTACATTTTTAACACATTAAATATTTACAGATTCCCTGAAAAATAAGGACTTTCCTTTAACGCAAACTAAAAAAAAGTCATTCGAGTCGGACGATAGCTGTAGAAATGTTTTCACCGTAAAAATCCCTTTTTTTTTTTTTTTTTTTTTTTAGACTCAGGGGATAAATCTACGTAAACAGATATTTCAAAATGCAAAATTCGAAATAAGGTAATTGCGTAATGCGTACACTGATATACTATACATATACAATATGTTTTATTAAGTGCTTAATTAATCTTCTCTACCTAAGGATAAAATATTAAATCGCGTGTTGAAACGTAGCCTGCGGAATTATTAATGTCTGCGCGTTTTCGCGTTATTATTCGCGTCGCTGCACCGTCGCGATTAATGCGCTAAAATGCATTGTCGGCGAATAAGGAGTCGCGCGCGCGTCGACTTCGCAGCGGACATTCATTTTGTAGCGCATCTACATTTCTTATAACTTCATACTTAATTCAGGTCTTCGTAGACTTCCGGGAAGTATTACGAAAGCGTGTGAGAGAAAGAGTGAGAAAGAGAAAGAAAAAGAGAGGCGCTGCAAGTACAAAAGTGCGGGCAGGTAGTGGGGGGGCAAGGGGGGGGGGGCGGGGGGGAGGTACATATATAAATGCAATGTTTGCGCCGTGTGCGAATATTACGCCACACGATCAAGAGCGTGCTCGTCTCGCCGCGAGAGTACTACTTCTCGTTTCGAGAGACTACCCTCTTCGACACGGCGCGGTAATATGAAAACCGCGTGTTTACCGCGGGCGGTAACGCGCGGCCGAGGAGAAGGTTGAAGGAGAGAGGGATTAATTTAGGTTTAATTTTAATCAAGCGCCCGCGACCTCAATTTGTTTCTCTTTGAGAGACAAGATTTTTGCACATACGCGCGTATATACACATATACATGGGATATCAGAGCTGCAAAACTTTCGTGGTGCTCCTCCCTGCAACCCCGCGGAACACACCAGGACTCTGTCAATGTTGCGAGTTACGTTTACCCATGGGAAATCTGCTCACGGATGCGACGCGCGATCCAATACATTTTCTTTATACACTTTACTCTCTCGTAATTACGAAATAAGCAAACACATCCCGGATTATGGAGAGAGACTCTCCGTTCGCGTGCGTCTCTCACTTCCGGTGTTGCGTCGCTGATGCAATTTCACGTGCCGCATATTCTCCCGCGACAATCACTCGATCATTCTTAATTTGAACGATACATTTTGAGAGATATGGTTTTACTTATAATTTATGCCATTTAATATAGTAAGAGATTACGATGGAAAGATTCCTCTGTGACGTTATTATTATCTTAAGGGGGAACACCAAGGGTGACGAGTTTTAAAAAATCGATTTTTTTTAAATTGCATTTTTGTAATGCTTGGAGTCTTAAAAATATGTCCCTATAATATTATGTTGAAATTCCTAACGGAACAATAGTAAATATGTGATAGATTAGAACGTGGTCAGATGTCGCTATGACATTCAGCAGTCCCCTTGATTTGCTTGTAGGCAGTTTTACTGGTATTCTTTTGTTTCCTGTGTGCTTCAGTCGTGAACACTTCACATGTACTTGGACGCACTTTGATTCGTTACGAAATTTTATCGTTATATATAAACTAATCGGTTGTAAAACTTTAAACGTATTTTTCTCGAAACCACGTTTTTGCAACTGGGCGCTCACATATCTCGGCAAATTTTTATCCGAATGACTTGAATTTTGGACAGAATGTTTACAACGAAATTGTCTTCAGTTGCACGTACGAACTTTTCAATCAGATTATTAGTTTTTGAAAAACAATTAAAAAGATAACGATTTTTTGTCGCAAAATCGTAACCTTTTTTTTAAAACAGCGCCATTTTGTCGAAAATTATTTTATCAAAAATTCCGTACGTGCAATTGAAATTACACTCATATACTTTAAAATAAAATTTAAAAAAATTATTTCTGAGCTCCCGCTCAGACGCAGCACGTGCACCCATGTTTTTTTAGACGAGGTGCACATCAATGAGTACTGAAGCTACAAATATTAATATTATTCAATGAATTTTTTTTAATAATTTCGTAAATGTATGTACTTCGCATATATAAAAACAATAATTCATACATGCTATCAGTTTTCAAAAAAAAAATTCACAAAAAGAGCCTTTTTTCGGCCGTCACCTTGGTGTTCCCCTGTTATTAATTGATACAACAATAAAATCACGGTTACTCATCTCTTCTTAGATTTTATAATCTTTAATTTTAAATTTTAGGAACTAAACCAAAAGCCGGATCAAATTGAGAAGAAGTCATCGAAATTATCTATGATAGCAAACGTTTGGGCCTTATCCTGTGCCATAGACCTGGGTTTATTTTGCGAATCTTCTCTCAAGGAAGTCGTTATCGCGAGTTGCTCAGAATTGGACCTTCCGTCTACTATCGAGGATGCAGGGAAATCTTCTGATCTCGAAACGAAGGATCACGAGGATGATGTGGCCAAGTCCGCGAATATCTTCGGTAACTCATGGCCGTTCATCGACCCTGCGCAAATTAAACAGACCACTAGTACGAAACCGGCTCGAAGGAAGCGAAGGAGAAAAGCGAAGAAATTGTCATCGAAACGAAATAAGAAACCGAGAAACGTAACGGCGAATCTTCCGACCAAGAGAGATACCTCACCATCGTTGCAAGAATCCAGCGAGAGAGAAAATTTGGACGTATCGTATGGTCGGTCGACAAGATTATCTACGAGGAAGAACTCTGCGTCTACGCGATCTCGCGTTTTCGTCCACGACGAGCGTTCGTCCGAAAGTTACGAATCGAGTGACGACGAAGAAGAAGTAATTAATCAAACGAGCTCGGAGATCGCTTCGGTTGATTATTCCGGCTCTGGATATTCCAAATTCTACTCGCAAAGTCATGCGAAGGAAGAGCCGCAAAATCAGGAGGAGTTATCCGAATATCCTGATTACTTCATGAACGTCTTGCGGATCGATAATAACACCGAGAATAATGTCCTCGATACCTCGGAGGATGTAACGTCGATTCTTGATACTTCTAGGGATGAGGACCAAAATGCCGGATATACGAAATTTTCGGAACGACGTGTCACACGCAAGAGTCTTAAGAATGAAAACGTTTCGCATAAAACCAGAAGAATGTTATCGAGAAAGAAGAAATCCGAGTTGGAAAACAGTACGGATCATTCTGTGATGTCAAAGAGAAGAAGAAACAGGTCGGTGGAACAGAAAGTAGAGACTCGCAATTCCGCGGCGTATAACAATCACAACCGGCGGCGAATTTCCCACGATTTGGAGAAAAATTCTTCAAAAAGCAAATCGGATTCAAGAAATGACGTCACTAGTAGCACGCATGATGTCGCGGAGGTATTTGAACAGAAACGTTGCGACTGTAAAACACGGCGACGTTCTCGCAATTTTACAAATACTACCTGTCCATGCAAGACAAGTCCGAAGGACACAGCCGCCGCAATTATGCGGGATATTCAAGAGTGTATAAACACGAAAATTATGAAGGATAGTAAAAATATTAAAGAAACGATTTCCGAAAATGGGAGAGATATACCGGAGAAGTCGAGTCATAAGAACCTCAGTCAAGACGTCTCCATGGAATATGAGTGGGTAGATAAGAATGAGCTTAAAGATCAGAATTTATCATCCCAGGAGTTAGAACGATCAACAAATGTTGAGGAATCATCGATAATTGCTAATCCGGTTAAAAAACGTCGTAAGAAGAGACACAGATATTCGATTGATTGTAAACAAGACGAAAATACGGAGACGGCTTATCGAAGCATTTTCCACGATTGCATCGATTTCGATACTCCGCGATCGGCATCATCCTTGAAAATAAACATGGAGGAGAGCTGGAAATCAGAGGACAGCAGTGACAATGACGACGTGATCCACTCATCTTGGCGCCGATCGACCTTAGAAACTTCAACTGAAGAATGCGGTAACGAAGTTGTTGATAGCGCGATGCTATTGGCTATGAAGATTGTTAGCGACGATTCTACAAAAGATGAAAAATGTGATGACGAGCATGAGACATTGAATAACTCATGTTATAAAAATCACGAAATATCAGATATTTTCCCGACGAAAATAAACTCTTTTGACAAGTCGGATAAAGATATGGATGAAATAAAATTCATAAGTCAACGTGATGAAACTGTAATTACATATACAAATAAAAATAGAACAATTAGGAGATCGACATCGGACGGTAACTTTGCCAAGGATGAGGACGATGATTCCAAGGTAAGCTATCACTGATGTATTCATTAATAGAATTGCTTATGAAATTGAGCTTGAATTTAATTCTCGGTAAATTTATCTATATGTTTTAAAAATTTCATAAAGTTTTTTCAATGTAAAAAGAATAAAAAGAGAGTAGAGAATCATATAAAAAAACAGGCATATAAAAACACAAACTTTTATATTTAATAATGTCATAATATTATTAAGTGTTACATTTTTCAAAGTTTTGGAAATTTTCGAAATACTTATTTAATTCTGTAAGTCGTTACAATTTAGTTTAGAAAAAATAAATGCGATTAGTACATTAAAAAAAAATTACATGAAAGTACAATATTATACAATCTATAATATATACAAATATATGTAATAATATATAAACAATATATAATATACATATATTGGAATGTACAATAATTATGTGTGATAATAGGATCAAAATACAGCTGCAAAAAACATGAAAATTAGTAGCAAAGTAAATGTAATGCGACAATGTCCACGTAACAAGGGTAACAATTTGAAGCATGATAAAAGTGAAAGTGGTCCGCGTAGAGTGACCAGAGCACTGATAAAGACTAAAAATGTTAATGAGAATCATCCCGGCAAGCTAGTATGGGGATTCTTTTCAGGATGGTGGCCAGGTAAATATATTAGGGATAATAATTACAAAGTATTTCGCACGAACATATTACACGCGAAAAAAATTTGCACACGAGTACAGATTTCATTGTAAAAATTAACTGTAGAAATTAACGACTTATTGATGTTTTTGATTAATTAGAGATATCGTTTTTATTGCACGCGCGATTAATATATTAAAAAATGCTTATCTGATTTTAAGTGTATTTTATTTTATCTTAAAAAAATATCTTTTTAAATTCAAAATATAATATTACAGCACTAATCGTCGATGCCGAACATGTAGGAATGGCTCCTGAACCTGGCAAGTTGTGGGTCTTTTGGATCGGAGAATCGCAAATATCGTTGGTAAATTAGCTATACCTAGAATAAACATTTTTTTATTGATGGAAAAGACAATAAAACGTAACGATGATTTCAGCTCAAACCAGAAACACAGATACAACCATTCTCGAGGAACTTGGAGGAGCGATTGTCGCAACCGTCTCGTAAAAATATTCGTTCGCGTGCCATTAACGCGACTATACAGGTTCTTTGATATCTCTTCGAGAATAAAATTAAAGACAATAAGAATTATATAAGGAATTACTTCCAAAAATGCGATGTGCCGTTACGATTATTTTAGATACTACGCCAACGTTTCAACTGTACTCTGACAAAGCCTTATTATTATTGGATACAACGGAATATAACTGATACGGAGACACGTAAGTCATGAAATCCTACGATTTATCTTTCGTAATCGTTGCAAATAAATGCAAAAGTTATTTGATACGGCAGTAGATGATCTAACGTTTTATCCATATCCGGAAAACGTACAAGAAAAACTAGATGCCCTGAAGGAAAAAAACGCCAAAGCTACTAAGAAATTTATGTCACGTCAGAGAAGTATGTCTTTTTATATCTATAATTTTTGTATACTGCTTGAAACGCTAATTTAATATCCTACGCAGGTTCACCAGAGCCGCCACCGAAAAAGCAGAATATAGAAAAAAATAAAAATGTAAATACAAGCTGGGAACAGATCGATGATGAGCGCTTATGTTTGCAAAACCAACAGCCTGGTGTGATAGCCTGGGCAAAAATCCCTGGACATTGCTGGTGGCCCGGTATAAGCGCATTTACTCTTATTTTTTTTTTTTTTTTTTTTTCACTAATATTCGCTCAAGCTTTCTTCATAAGTATGAAGAATACTTCATATTTTTTTTTCAGCAATGATTATTGATTATCGCGATTGCTGTTTGAAAGAACCGAGTTTTGGCTGTCAATGGATTATGTGGTATGGCGATTATCAAGTTTCGGAGGTGACTAGTTTTGGTATCAACTTCCAAAAGAAGAAAACATTTGCAAAGCAGATGTTCTTTTTTCTGTCTTTATGTAATAATTATAATTCTATATTTTGTATTTAATAGGTGCGTCATCTCGAATTTTTGAAATTTCACAAAGGAATAGAAAAAATGCGAGAGTACATTCAGAATACGAACAGACAAACATATCTTGATGGCGTACTTCAAGCCTCTAAGGTAAAAAAATTTAAGAATTATTGATGTTAGATAATAACATCATAAATGATTTATTTGAATGTACGATGTGTATTATATGTATGATGAATTTTTCTTGTAAAAATTTTCAAAAACTTTCACGACATTTGAATCTGACTTTTTAGGATTATTGCTCACGATTAGGATGCAACACGGATAACTGGACTTTAAATAATGTCTTTGAATATTTTTCAAATAATATTCATATACCATCTAACCAATTACAAGTTTCAGACTCTAACAGGGTATACGATAAGTATTCCAACGAGATAATAAAAAAGATCAACGAATTCAAGTTCAAGTCGGATGTAGATGCTGAACGGAAGCGTGACATAAAAAGCAGTAGTAAGTTGGATTATGCAATATGTATAAATTACAAATTGGTATTTTATAGTATCAATTTTTTATTTGTAACTTTTTATTATTAACTATAGGTGATTTTCGTCGCGTGATATCAGGAGAATGCAATATGGAAAAATTATGCTTAAAATGTTTGAAAGTCCCTAAAGGTAGAAAGGAGGAACATCCGTTCTTTATAGGATCTTTATGTAGAGAATGCTCGGTAAAGACACTCACACATAGATTGTGTTAGCAAATAATCGTAGAAAAATAATGATCACTGCGGCTTTTAGCAAAAACATTATTTGTCTGCTTTTTTTTTCTAGGATGAATTTAAACCGTGCATGTTTGTGCATGGAAACGATGGCAAGTGCGTAAGTATTCGGCAGTTCCGGCGATATTTAAAGATTAAAATATTGATTGTCACTTTGTTTCACGTTTGATTTCAGTTTTACTGTACAATTTGTGCTAACACCGGAACTGTTCTTATTTGTGATTCAGAAGATTGTCCACGGTTGGTTTACATCGCAATTACAATAAAACATATTTCTGTCGCGTCAGAGTATAATTAACATATTATTCATTTCAGTGTTTATTGTACAGCTTGTTTGAAATTTTTGATATGTCCAAAATCATATGATAATATGTTATTGGAAGATCCATGGGAATGTTTCCTCTGTAGAGATGAAAGTAAACAACCTGAAGATTTGATATTGCGTTCGCGATTAAATTGGAAAGAACAGTTCACAAAAATGTTCCGTACGACTTCTAATCTCACAAATGATATAGATGTTGCAAGGATTAAAAAGCAGAATAAAGCTGTACGTGTGTTGTCCCTTTTCGATGGGTTGAGTACCGGTAAGATAAATATTTACATTTAATTTATAATCATATATTTTTGCTTGCGTTAAGTTATTACAAGTTTATGCTCGTAAAAAATACATTTTTATAAGTTTACTTACGTAAAAAATACATTTTTACGTGATACATATTTCTTATGTTACATATAGGTTTTTTGGTGCTTCAAAAATTAGGGCTTGTTGTGGAAGTTTATTATGCTAGTGAAATTGATGTAAATGCTTTAACTATTAGCTCTGCCCACTTTGGCGATCGCATTACTTATCTAGGAGATGTAAGAACTATAACAAAGGAAAAAATTCAAGAAATCGCGCCAATTGATTTGCTAATTGGTGGATCACCATGCAATGATTTAAGTTTGGTCAATCCGGCGCGATTAGGTCTCCACGGTACTAATCTGCAATTAGTATGTTTTCTCTTAAATGTTTTTACAAGCATTTTAATCTACTCTTGTGATTATAGATCCAAAGGGGACAGGCGTTCTCTTTTTCGAATATTGCCGAATTAAAAAACTAGTAGAAAAAGCCAACAAAGATCGACATATGTTTTGGTTATTTGAGAATGTCGCTTCTATGCCAACCGAGTATAGATTAGAAATTAACAAGTAAATTGAAATATTTGTTAATTTATAATTTAACAGGTAATATTATAGTTATACGAAATTAACTTGTTATATTAATTACTTAGACATTTAGGACGGGAACCTGATGTCATAGATTCGGCGGATTTTTCACCTCAACATAGACTGAGACTTTACTGGCATAATCTTCCTTTTAATCCATATATGCCGCTGTTTGAAAGCCGACAAGATGTACAGGATAAGCTTACTCCAAACTTGAATCGGAAGGCTCTATGCAAGAAACTTCATACAGTTACGGGCAGATCAGGTTCCTTACTACAAGGTATAAAAATACTGATAAAAACATTCACAGATATTTTTATTAAAAGTGATTTATACTTAATTCCTATTTCTATTAATTTCTATTCTAGGAAAAGCGGAATTAAAACCAATTATGATGAAGGGAAAAACTGACACGATATGGATTACTGAACTCGAAGAAATCTTTGGCTTTCCACGACATTATACGGACGTGAAGAACTTATCAGCTACAAATCGACAGAAATTGCTCGGAAAATCTTGGAGCGTACAAACACTTATTGCCATATTACGACCTTTATGCTTATATTTTAAGTGCAATGAAGATGAGACGAGCAAAAAGTCTGCTTCTTAAAGAAAATAATTCTTACCTCTGTATTGCAATAGAAACTTTTAACGCAAATTTTGATCTAGCAAAGTTTTTTTTATCATTGTCGAATAGAACATAATTAAACATGCAGTGATAATGTTTTATCTCATGCTATTTTCGAATTAATTTATGACTGCAATTTTATATATGCCTACATTTTTTATTTTTTAAATAAAAGTAATATATGAAATGTGTTCCTTATAGGGATGCACCGGATCGTAAAATTGCTAGATATTCGATGTCGCATTGTTTTCGGACATTTGGTAGAACAATTATCCGGCCGGATACCATATATTTCTCCTAATATACCACTGGATATTTAGAAAATGGCTTCTAAAAAAAACAGCAAGAAAAAGTAGCGATAATAATTTTCTTTATTTTCCCAACGTGAAAAGAAAAATAGAAAAAAAAATTTTTTTTTAATAACTTTGGACCGGACTACGTGTATCTTATAGATTTTTGGATACTGAAAACGATGCATAGTGGTCTGAAAAGGCAGTTTGATCCTCCGAAAAGTCCGAATTATAAAGTATAACTGAAGCTGGAATTTATACTGCTAATGTATAGAAGAACGTTTATAGTATATATATTCATCAATAAAAGTCAAAATAATTTTTCATTTTTATCTAAAAATATGGCCTAAAGACGCGAACACTTATCCGATCGCTTCGTTCCCACATTTGGACTCTAAGAAAGAACTACGTCAAAATTATTAATAAAATAATCAGCAAAAACGTATCATTAAATTACCTAATACTTTCACTGTAAATGGTGTAAATGGCATTAAACTTGATTGTATCGTTTTGAAACTATTTTTCTAAAATGGAGCTACACATTTTTCTAAAATACTGCTATCACATAATGACAAAAAAGATATTCAGCCGAGTCGACCGGTATTGTTGTTTTTTGGTTTGTAGTATTGCAAATTGATTCTATAATAAGATCCGATAATAAAACTGCGGTTTTTTACGGGTTTTGCGGTTTTGAAATCTATAAACTACTTTTTAACGAAGGGCGAGCGACGGCTAAAACCTGTTGGAGGTTACTCAGGGTCATGACCTTGTCAACATATGTCAAGGTCAAGGTCATTGGCGGGGGCTCCCCTAAACTTGATATTTATCATTTTATTTTATTTATTTTTTATTTTATTTTGTGATTCTCACAATTAAGTTTACAATCAAGTTTAATGCCATTTACATCATTTACAGAGAAATAATTTAACGATATATTCTTGTTGATTATTTTATTAATTTTGACGTAGTTTTCTCTTAAAGTCTATATGTTGGAGCAAAACGATCGATAAGCGTTCGCGTGTTCTCCGACTTTGGGACATATTTTTACATAAAAATGCAATATTATTTTGAATTTTATTGATAAATATATATAGTATAGACATTCTTCTATACATTGACAATATAAATTCCAGCTTCATTTATACTTTATATTTAATTCGGACTTTTGAGCAGCAAACTATCTTTTTAGACCACTGTGCGATGCCGCAAGCGAAACAATTCTAGGACGTCAAATTTCCAAGATAATTGAGGTTTAATACTTAAAATTTTTTTTTGCGATATTTGACATTTTTTTTATAAAGAAGGTTAACGTTATCTTGAAATTTTGATCAGAAGCCATGAATGTAATATTTATCCCCTATAAAATGCATTTTTTTTTTTATTTCAATACCTTATTTTCTAGTTATGTTATGAACGATTAAAGATAAGAGAACTATTTCGAAAATGGGTACGTCATATGATTCAAAACAATAATAACGCACATAGACACACGCACACACACGCACACGCACACACACACACACACACACACAC